ATCTATCTATCTATCTATCTATCTATCTATCTATCTATCTATCTATCACACAGGAGCTCTTTCAAGCTGGGCCCTGTTTTATCCACAACACCTGTCCCACCAACCAGGAACCAGAACCAGATGTTTACATTAAAAACAGGAAAATATCAACCTGTGGATTATCTGAGGATCTTAGTACTGAATGCCCAATAACAAGGGACATTTACACACTAAAGGACCAGTTTGATAGAACACAATATACATAATTAGGGGGTCCCAGCTCCATCTCGCCATCAGTTTGGGGCTCCTTGGCCTGGAAAACCTTGAAGACCCCTGCACTAAACAATGCACCATCAGGCACAGACGGCGGGGGGGAAGAGCCTCTTCATTTCTCACAGAACATGTGGCATAAAGGACACTTAGCTCTGAACACTCAACATATAAACATTATTGGGATTAGCCCAGGCCCGACACCCTGGGAACCCAAACCAGAATCCTGGTTGGTTTCTCACCCAGGCGCTGTTATGTGGATCAACACGAGCTCCGCCCAGCTGGCATATCGATTGGACACGGGCAGACCCATCACATAGGTCACGCCTCCAGGGTGGTAGTGGTTATTGACCACCTTCAGAGCAAACAAGACACCTAGAAAATATTTAGAAACGGGGATCAGGAAATGCCAGCACGGGGGGGAGAAGATGTGTTTCTTTACAGCTTTTTTCTAGAAACTGGGATGTGACCTATACCTGAGAAGCCGACCGCACAGGCCATGCTGTAGGACTGGTCCTCCATGAGCTCCGTTAGCAAAGCCTCCAACCCCAGATAAACCACACCGGTCAGCAGGGAGAAGACCGAGAGCAGGTACAGGAACCAGGCCCCCCCCAGCCGTTGCTCCAGCCGGATGCCTTTCCACAGGAAGGACGCCATGTTGAAATACAGATGCCAGTCGTCTGCGTGGTGCAATGGGGACAGGAGAAGTCGGCGCCACTCTTTGAGCCAGTAGGCCTGCTGGACACTCACACAGGCCTGGAAATCGGGCAGAAAACAACATTCAGATTTTTTTACGTCCACTTAACTCATTCGCTGCCAAAGACGTCTATAGACGTCTTTTATGTTTTTCAACGAGAGTGGCTTGGGGGACGATCGGCTAAAGCTTTTCCGTAAATATCAGGCTTCTAGACAGAGTATGTACTAACAAAATTACCCTCTAGGGGGCAGTGCCACTTTTGATCGGAGATGAGCATAGATATTAGGCAAATTAAAAAAAACGCAATGGTTCGCTATGCGAAAAATGGCGCCGGTGAGACGCAAGTCGAGGAAGAACGGAATAAGGTAGAAACAAATGTTTTTTTCCTGATGAAAGAAGAGAGTCTACGCTTTCTTTTAGTGTGTTCGGTGTTTACATAGTCATAGCTCAAACTATTCTGTGGCTCTTGAAAAATCAGTCAAAATGCTCAAAAAACTCTGGCAGTATGGGACTCTCTGTTTTGAAAATGGCTGCCAGTCAATGAGATAAAGTGATAAACACCAAATACACGCTTATTTTCAGAGTGGATTAGATGTAACTAAACACATTTAGATGCACATAAATGAAATAACAAGTGTCTGGTGCCATTTCAGTGAGATACCTGCATGAGGGGAGCAGCAGGAAAAAGGAAGAGGTACACGTTGAGGGCCAGGACGGCCAAAGTGACCGGGGGGATGTTGTCCAGGCCCACCTGGAACAACTGGGAGGCCAGCAGCAGCAGGCCCAGTTGGGAGCCCCTCGGCCTGGGACGCATCCTGCACGGCAGCGGAGGAGAAACAGCATCAGGGGGAAGGTTTCAGCGCTGGTTTCGAGCAGGATTCACAAAAGGCTCAAAGTTCTTCCAAATATGTGGTTTTTAAACTATACATTTGTGCTCAATTGAGAGGGAAAGAATCAGGAATAAATCCATCAAGCTTCTGTGATGTGTTGTTTTCATATTAACAAGTAATTTCTTATGAAGGAAGAAAGGCATTCCTTTTTATTTACAATTAGTTGGTTATCTGGAAATGCAGATATTATACATAGGTATACGTAAATGATGAATAAATCTAATATGTATTCACTACTAATGTCTCACATAGACACTCTCTAGGTTCTGCTCTGAGTTTTAGATGAAATACAAGGAAAAAAAGACATTAAAACATTTTATTCCAGTTGAGACTCTTTGCTGGTAGAGTCCTCCATTATTTAGTATCTTATCTAATCAAATATTATACTTTAATTGGAGCCAATAGCAAAACAGTCAGAACTTCCTGTGTTACCGTGGAAATACATTTGCATCTTATCATGCAAATGTCTAAAACTGGGTGTCCGAAACAAGCAGTAAACAAAACTAGATGGACGTTCCTGAAACTAGCAAAGTTGTTTTTGAAGGGTCATCTGAAATATAAAAGAAAACTTACTTTTTTTTTATATCAGTGTCAGTTCTGAAGCTAGTTCTGGTTCCGTGGCGGTTTTAGCTAATGCTAATTCTGAGTCTCCTCGCGCCTTTTATCTGGTTATTCAGCAAAGGGAGCCTGAATAGAGTTCAACAATGACAGCCTGAGCCCGGCTGTAATCCTGAAAATGTTTGGTCCACGTCTGCAGAGTTTGTTTCTTGAGGTTTCATCACTTCTCGCACTTACTGGAAACTACTCCGCCACGGCTGGGCGCGTCATGCGTCACGGGTCACGTGACAATAACAGAGCTACGAATCTGCGCAGCCGCAGTAGGACTCCGAGTCTGCCTTGGACCTTTTCGTGCCTTCATTTTGTTGTATTATAATTTTTAATAATTAAGCCTTAAATGTCCTACTCCAAATGATTTCTGACATCCATCCATTCACATTTCCTAAATATTTTAGTTTGATTTTAGTCAGTTTTTAATGATTCACCAGTCAGTTTGATTTTTTTATTGTTGTTTACATGTTTGATTTTTTTTCTCTTTTTATTATGTGACAGAAATGATAGGCTCTAGAAAATAAAATGAATTGCTAAACGTGCACTGAGACCCATTATCGCCTTCGAGTGGCCATAGTCAAGAACTACATGACGTTAAGAGCCTGTTCAATTAGCAAAAATGAACATTAATTAACATTAATGGGACAAAATATCATAATGCATTTTTCTGAAGAAAATTAATTAGGTATCAGAATTAATTTTCTAGGGGAAAAAGACTATTTCTACAGGCGACATGCAGCAGGGGGGTTGAACCCCCCTTATTTACTAGGCGGTGTGTGGCATCAATTACATGCACGTGCGCCAGGTGAGGCACACCGGATCCTCGTGCATTATTGAGGTTGCAGCAGCAGCTCCGGGATCAGCTTTCTCCACTCAGAAAACTGACACTCTGTTTGGCTCTTTGTACTCACAGTTTCTCTCCGAGTGTCTCCGCTTCCTACGGTCACGAAGCGGGGCTGGCGGAGAGGCTGTTGCTATAGTAACAAGCGTACGCAGGGCAGATGGGGGGAGGATGTTTTCCTCAAGTTAACGGTAGTCAAACAAGACACAACCGGAAACCCAAACGTTTCCTCTTCAAAATCAAAGCAACTATTGTCAGATTAGAAACATCTACGTTTATCTTTAAAAAAAACAACACAACTGAGCTTATTCACTTTTTTAAATGTTATTTTGAACAATTATTTATCAGTGAAGGATGAATAAATGATCACAACCGTAAAGGATACTAAACCTTTTATTCTCTCAGCAACTATGGTAGAAAATATAAACAGCTCGGTTCATATCTTGTCGTCTTCTGTGACTTTGTCCTCATAATTGTCGTTATGTTGTACAAAGGTGCTATTTGTCAACTTTAACACTGTGATACATGCATGCCTGAAAGTGGACAACTAAAAAAAATTAAATAAAAAACTAAGAAAAATGTTGACATGCCCCTAAGCAATACAAAAATAATACTAAAATAATTTAAGTATTGATATGAATGACGATGTAAGCACATTTATACATAGATCTGTATTTATTTTTATTTTGATGCAGCCTAATATGTGAGTGCTTTCATTTACTCATGTTTTAAAATTAAAATTCAGTTTAAAATGTTATTTGCACAATGAAGTATAAACATATATACTAATATATATTATCTAAATGATGATTAGCGATTATCTAAAGACTAATTATTTTCTAAATACTGATAAAACATTTTGATAAAATACTTTCAGGATTTATAATTCGCAAAATGTTTTTTTAAATTAAGCAATAAGGGTTTAATACGGATTTAGAATTAAATTTAAACATCTTCATAAACATAATGATACTAATAAGACAAACCTGCAATATAAAGATCCTGCACACATTAAACTGTTGAGTGATTATCATGAAGGCATCTTCCAACACGCCATTTTTCTTCCATATGCACCCAAAATCTACTTTTCAAATCGCTTATCCAAAAAATTAGAGAGATTTTCAGCAACCAATGAAATTCTATTTACCCCAAACGTATTTAAAACACCCTTTATGTCTTTGTTTGAACCTACAGGCCCTTTTTCAAGGGATGGGTTTTTTTTTTAAGGTGAAGGCAGAGGGAGGAAGTGGAGTCTGGGGGCCGGGGGTTTGACCCGGCCGGAGGGGGGGGGGGGGCTGGATCTGGAGAACCGGGGGAGCCGGGGCAGGTATACAGGTGTGTGTGCGCGCGCGTGCCACTGAATGTCGGGGAGGCAGGAAGGGGTGAGGGCCTGAAGACCAGCCGGAGAGGGACAGGGGGGTCAGAGAGAGGGACAGGGGGGGGCCGACAGAGAGGAGCCGGAGCCGGGAGAGGAGGACCGGAGGACCGGGGAGAGGAGAACCGGGAGAGGAGGACCGGGATTGGGGAAGGATGTCTGAGAGGATGGCCTCGTGCGGGAGCCTGTACGACAGCAGCAACCTGCTGCTCCAATACTGCAACAACGGTGAGAAATACGGGCACCTGTTCCGCATTAAACGTGTGCACATTTTCCCTTTAATCAGCACCGCAGATATTCCGGTTTGGAACCGCGTAGATCAGTTAATTGGTGGGATTTTCCCCCCCAGAATTAATTGATCATTTCCGTCGGAAATTTGGATTTCCTGTGTGGCTCTTGACATATTTCTGTAAGACGTCATTTTGTGGACTTTTTTCAATTTATTTTCTTTGTTTCATGCTTTGTTGTGATACATTTCAGTTGGAAAATATCAATATTTTAGACTTGTTATGGTTTATTTTTGTGTTTTTGCCATGGATATCATTCCTCTAACCGATCATTTCCTCATAAATTGCCCAAAAGTGATAGAAGGTCTATAAGCCAAAGCTTGAAAACAGCAAGTGGAGCCCCCAGGAAAAGCTCTCCAGCTTCTTGAAGGATGTCCCAAAGCTTTTTTCTGGATGTTTTGCTGCCTTTGGCTCTTTTTTTCTGTCAGATGATCCCAAACTGCTTCATAATGAGGAGTTTTATGCTCTTTTGGAATCACCTCAAACAGATTAGGAATGGGATGGAAAACTTCTCCCATGCACTTTATTTCCCTCGTTGGGAAAACTTCTTTGTGGTGATCATTTGGTTCTTGTTTTTCCTCTTCCTTATCCTCTTCCTTTGCATGTGGCATTTAGGGCAAATTATTTGGATCCTATCTGCAGAGACAATAGAGGGCTGTCATGGTGAATGGAGGATTTAAACTGTTTTACACAAGTTTGTTTTGGTTATTTAGGGGGTTATTTAGAGGAGATGAATGCATTAACTGAGTGGCGTGCATGCGGACATGCAAATGCGTGTTATCTTTAGGGTCCGCTTTCAAATAGATTTCCCTGATTCAAATTCATCTTAAGCTCTTCCTTTATTTTGTATCCCAGCAGAAAGTGAAGCATCAAACATTACCAGTTGGATCAAACCAAGTCAGAAATTCAGTCAAAACAACTTTTTTTTGTCCAAATTGAACCGGATTTAGAGCTGTTGCCCACTAAAGCTAATGGGCAGCCATACTGGGCGGCAGGTGGAGGGACAGCCAGGGGTCAGCGAGCTCTGGTCAGAGCTGTTCATGCTCCTTCAAAGCAGCCGTTCCCACCATTTGGTGACCATGGTGCCCAAAGCCTCCTGCAGCTCGACGCCCACTTCCTGCCAAACAATAAGACATAATCAAGCTCCACATTTATCGCGTTTAATTTGGCAAATGGAGGCCAGAAAACATGTGAGCGGCTCAGAAAAAAAGCACTTTTAGTTGAATTTGGACCGAATTACATCAGTTTTTTTGGTCAGTTTGAATTGCAAAATGAAAAGTTTGAATGAAACCTTGAACTTAAAGTCACATATGATATCATATCACACCTAAATCGGCCTCTTCTGTGTTTTTTCCGGGTGTTGTTTAAGTTCATAAAGCTTGTTAAAGGTCTGTAGATGACAGTCCTGGTTTCTCTTTTCTGGTTGCTTGTAGTAAGATGGCTGTTTAGGCATTGACGACCACACTTTTTGTGGAACTTAACCATTATCTGAAGTCCATTTGGACTATTTAAACTGAGGATTGTGCTTCTCTGTTGTTGTTTCCATGGCAGGAAACAGTTAGTTTGCACTGCCGCCATCTTGTGGTCATAGTACGTTACTACAGGCAGACCTCATCGAGGCCTTTAAATTGCCTCCAGTTCAGTGAGTGTTTGAAAAGAAATAAATCATTGCCTGTGCTCATTATCCTTAATTTGATATCCCTCTTTCTACTGTTGGATGACCAGTATGTGCTGACATCAACAGAATGGATTCAGATGTAGAGTTTAGTGAAAAAAAGTCAGAAACGAGGATGCGATTTATTGGGAGACGGT